AAAAATTAACTCAAAATGTATCACAGACCTCAATGTAAAATTATAAAACTATAGTTTTATAAAAATGCAAAACTATAAAACTCCTACAAGATAATATAGGAGAAAACCTACAGGGCCGTATGTGTTGTGATGACTTTTTAGATACAACACAGAAGGCATGACCCATGAAAGAAACTATTGATAAGAAACTATTGATAAGTTCTTCATTAAAATTAAGAACTTCTCTATGAAAGACACTGTCAAGAGAATGAGAAGACAAGCCACAGTCTGGGAAAAAATATGTGCAAAACAAACATCTGATAAAGGACTGTTATCCGAAATATATAAAGAACCCTTAAAATTCAACAATAAGAAAACAAACAACCTGATTTTAAAATGGGAAGACATGAACAGACACCTCACCAAAGAAGACATTCAGATGGCAAGTCAGCATATGAAAGATATTCAACATTATGTATCATTAGGGAACTGAAAATCAAGACAACAAAATACCACTACATACCTATTAGAATGACCAAAATCCAAAACACTGACAATATCAAATACCAGCAAGGATGTGGAGCAACAGGAACTTTCACTCTTTGCTGGTGGGAATGCAAAATGGTACAGCCACTTTGGAAGATAGTTGGCAGTTTCTTACAAAACTAAACATACTCCTACCATACAATCCAGCAACATGCTCCTTGGTATTTATCCAAATGAATTAAAAACTTATGTCCTTATGGTTTTTGAAAACAAAAACTTGTCCACATACCTTTACAGCAGCAGCTTTATACATAACTGCCAAAACTTAGATACAAGAAAATGTCCTTCAGTAGATGACTAGATAAATACTGTGGTACAGCCAAACAACAGAATATTATTTCATGCTAAAAATAAATTAGCTATAAAGCCATGAAAAAACATGTAAGGAAACTTAAATGCATATTACTAAGGGAAAAGACTACCCACTGGTATGATGCCAACTATATGACATCCTGGAAAAGGCAAAACCATGGAGACAGTAAAAAGATTAGTAGTTGCCAAGGGCTGGCACGAGAGAGGGATAAATAAGCAGAGCACTGAGGATTATTAGGGCAGTGAAACTGTTCTGTATAATACAATGCTAGATACATGTCATTATACTTGTCAAAACCCACAGAATGTAAAACACCAAGAGTGGGGCCGGCCCCGTGGCGCACTCGGGCGAGTGCAGCGCTGGGAGCGCAGTGACGCTCCCACCGCGGGTTCAGATCCTATATAGGGATGGCCGGTGCGCTCACTGGCTGAGCACGGTCACAAAAAAGGACAAAAAAAAAAAACACCAAGAGTGAACCCCAGTGTAATTTATGGACTTTGGGTGATAATGATGTGTTAATGAAGGTTCATCAACTATAACAAATGTTCACTCTGATGCTGAGAGTAGGGCAGGTTGTGCATATCTGGGAGTAGGAGATATATGGGAACCCCTGTACTTTCCACTCAATCTTGCTGTGAACCTGAAACTGCACTAAAAAATATTATTCTCTAAAAAACATTATTAAGAAAAAAAATCAGTACAATACTGTGGGACGGGGAGGCGGGGGAGTGAATAATGAATCATCAAAAATGCCTGTTTACCACACAAAAATATGCATATGGCTGTTTACAGCAGCTTTATTCATAACTGCCAAAACTTGGAAGCAACCGAGATGTACTTCAGTAGGTGAGTGGATAAATAAACTGTGGGACATCCAGACAATGAAGTATTATTCAGGGCTAAAAAGTAATGAGCTAACAAGCCACGAAAAGGCATGGAGAAATCTTAAATGCATACTATTAAGTAAAAGAAGCAGTCCCAAAAGGCTACATACTTTATGATTCCAAATACATGACATTTTGGAAAAGGCAAAACCATGGAGATAGTAGAAAGATCAGTGGTTGCCAGGGGTTAGGAGGAAGGAATAATAAATAGGTAGAACACAGACGATTTTTAGGGCAAGGAAACTATTCTTTACTAAACTATAATGATGGATACATATCATTACACATTTGTCAAAACGCATTACACATTTGTCAAAACGCATGTAACGTACAACACCAAGAGTGAGCTCTCATGTAAACTATGGACTTTAGATGATAATGATGTATCAATATAGGTTCATCGACTGTAACAAATGCACCACTGGTGGGAGATGTTGATAATGGGGGAAGCTGGGGAAGGGGGGGTAGACAGGAACTCTACCTTCTGCTCAATTTTGCCATGAACTTAAAACTGCTTTAAAAAATAAAATTCATTTTTTTAAATGCCTGTACACCTCATGGAGAGAGGGGTTCTGCAAGATAATGATGACAGAAGAAACAAGGTCAAAGTCACAAAATGACAGAACTGAAAGATCCCTTTTAGGAAAATATCCTAGAGGCCATTTTGCCCTGTAGGTGCCAGCCTTTTCCAGGTGGTAGTTTTACTTTGAGGAAGACAGTTAATATACTTCATCCCATTATTAACACTTGGAAAAATTTTACCTGCAGAGAGCATAAGTAAGTTAGATACGCTGCAATGTAAAATCACAAGCTGCAACATATGTGCCTGAAAATAACAAGTTCCTTTGCTACTTATCCATTTGTTTTGAAATTTGTGAGTATTC